ATAAGGGGACACAGACGCGAGGAAGATGGGTAGAACAGAAAGATAGTTGAAGGGGAAGAAGGAAGAAAGAAAAGAAATGGAAGGGAAGGCGAGGAAGACTGAGGAAATGAAAGGGAAGGAAAACTAATGAGGAGAATTTAAAAGGGGGATAATTTTTCATGGATTGTTTAACGACGCTATCAGTTTCGAGTGGCAGAATGAATGATACGTGTATGATGAGTTGGAAAGAATTTAGGAAGGAAGAGATCATGGTGGAATGAAGGGACTGGAAGAACTAAGGAAGACAAAGGAACCCCTCAGTCTGCCGATGTCCTGGCTGCAGGAAGAGGACAGGAAGGGCTGTGGGCAAGAAAGGAAGAGAAGCTAAGAGAAGAGATGAAAAGGAAAGAAAAACGAAAATGGGGATATGTCGAATTAAGAAAAAAAGCGTAGAATAAGATATACATGATATTTGATTTCATTTCAGTACTATTACATTGTACATTAAAACACGATTCCACTAAACAGTGACAACTTCCTTGTGGCTTGGGCTTTGGGGAGAAATAGAATGGGATTTGTCTTCACAGCGATGGTTATGAAGAATTCTGTCTTCTGTGATATTTTCTAGAGGCCGAGTGTTCATTTCCGTGTTCACAAGAGCCCTCCACTGGTCCCTATCAATCCAATCCATCCCATCTCTCTTAAATCCACGTTAATATTATCCACCAACCTACTTCTTTCTCTTCCTAGTGGTCTCTTTTCTTTTGACTTCCCCGCCAATATTTTATATGCATCCCTCTTTTCCCCCATTCGTGCTGCATGTCCTGCCCATCCCATCCTCCTTGACTCGATCATTCTAATTATACTTGGAGAAGAGTACAAGTTATGAAGTTCCTCACTGTGCAGTTTCCTCCAACCTCCTGTCACTTCATCTCTCTTCGGTCCAAATGTTCTCCTCAACACCCTGTTCTCAAACACCCTCAGTCTACGTTCCTCCCTTAATGTCAGAGATCAAGTTTCACACCCATACAGAACTACAGGCAAAATTATAGTTTTGTATATTCCAGTTTTTACGTTTTTAGACAGCAGACGAGAAGACAAAAGGTTCTGGACTGAATGGTAGCAAGGATTGCCCGAGTTCAGTCTCCTCTTAATTTCCTCCTGAATCACATTTTGATATGTTACTGTCGTTCCCAAATATCTGAACTGTGCCACATTTTCAAAACACCTGTTTCCTATCTTTATGTCACGATTCGGCCCTGCATTTTGGTGATGAGACAGCAACATATACTTACTTTTCTCTGTGTTTACTTCTAGACCAACCTCTTTACTTGCGTCAATTAAAATTTGTGTGCTTCTTTTTATGGCATCTACATTATCACCCAGTAGATTTACATCATCATCATATTTCAATGAAATCTAACCTTTGTTTACTTCACTAAGGCATGACTACTGATTTCTGCTTGATGTAGAAACTCTCATGTCTTTCTTAAGCCCCAGGTAGTACGATACTTTATTTTCAACGCGGATAGGACACTAAACAATCTGTGATCATCTTCAACATTAGTACGTTTAAATTTAGTGTTGTTGGTCATCATATTACGTCACTCGGATGATTCAAAACGCCCACCTATGTGACGACTCCATATCATTCAGTGACTGTAATTAATTTCGTGATTGGTATTATGAAATGACTACTGTCTTAGCTAAGAGAAAAGATAATAGGACTTGTTTGTATCCTTGACAGTTTTAGTTTCGGTTCTATTGTACGTGTGGGACTTCTTTTGCATTTCGAGTATGAAATTTGACATTAAAAGTGTATACTCTTGTTTTTAACTAGCGTGATGAGGCGTTATATCTTCTTATGACCTTGGAAGAACCGGTATAATAATTACGTCACCGCTGTGTTCAGTGTAAACATTAAAGAAAGTGAATATAAAAATGTTTGTTTATTCTTTCGTGCAACCCACGGGCTTAAGATACTACATTTAGAGTCGATTGTCTGCATTCAAAGCTTAGAATTCAAAGTCACTGGTACACAGATCCTTCTAAACACGATAATTACTTTTGT